AAGGAAATAGGAATGATTTATGAGCAATTCTAAGAAATGAAGGGAATACCATTCTGCCTCCCTCTTCCCCATTGGTGCAAGATGCTTTATGTTATGTGGTTTACACAAATTTTTCCAATTAGCAACCAAAACTCCATGCATTTTTCAGAATTGTTTTTATTACGATCAAAATTTTCACAATGAATGCTTGTGTAGAGTAAGGCCATGGATTTTTCCAAGAACAGTAAAAACCAAATAAAATTTTGACAATGAAAGCAAATTTCTGATGTTTTCCAAAGTCTTAAAATCTGTTTAACAGTCACTTACTTGATTATTTCAGAGGGAATCCAAAGATACCAAAATTCTTTGAGAAGGCTAAGAAGAATAGGGAAGTATATCCCGAAAAGATTGTAAAATTAGAAGGAAAAAATAGCCTGATCTGCTACTTAATGGAATTGAGAAGTCTGATTGCATTGGTTGGCATGTCACAATGTTCTGTTTTCCTGATCTTGAGGGTAACAAACTGTTCCCTAACAAATCTTCAGTAAGACAACTAACAAACAAAATTAATATTGGAAAGCAGAAAAAGGAGGTTTAGTCAATGTGGTCACATTGGGAAGAGGAACAATATTCCAGTGGTCCCACCCCCTTCATGTCAGTATTCAGCATCCTGAAGTAAGATTAAACTTTAAAGTGTCAAAGATACATATGTAAGTATTTGAAATCAGTATGTGCTACTCTCCTGCACTGATAAATCATTCCTAGAGATTCAGCCTCATTCTGCTGTGTTGCTACAAGTTTTTAGAGCTCTCTGAAATCATTTTCTCTTTGGAGAAATAAATTCCCTCCTTGTTGAGACATTTTTTTCTTCTCCCAGTATGAGATTCTGCAAAAAATGTCCATTACTTGGAGTTAAATCTTCTCAAATATCTGATAATCTAATCTAGAGAAACAAGAGACTACTTAGAGCAACATTGTTTCTTTCAGGCCTTTTGCAAACTGAGTTACATTATCCATGCCTGGCTTATACAGACTATGCTTATTAGGCAGAGTTCTCCTATACCTTAATTGTCCAAGAAAAAATTCAGTAACCCTTGTATTGGAGAGGCTGACAGACACAATATTAGAGCAATGTTTGGAGCCACTTAAGGAAGGTTTAAGGTCTATGTTTTGGTGATTATAAAATGTATTCAGAAAAAAATCAGAGAATTCATACAGGCCTCAACTAATTGAAGAGCATTGGTCCAGTCAGTGTGACACAATGAAGTTAACTAATCCATAAGCAGGCTACTACAGCCAGAATACAACAGAATTCTCTACATGATAATAGAGGCCAAACTTATCCACCTTCAAAGAACATCTCAACCCTTAGACATGCCCTCTGGTCTCCAAGGGCATCCTTTCTTTTTCATGTCACACACACACACACACACACACACACACACACACACACACACACACAAACAGATCTCGAAAATGTTGTAATTGACATAATGACAAGAGTGCCCTGGGGTTAGTCATTCTCTTCAGTCTAGATACAATATTTGATAGTTGCTTTTTGTGTAGTTTTTCAACAATGTAGCCAGGTCAATGTTTTCTGACATATGAAATCAAATAAAAATATTACTTAATAAGGTAATTTTGGAAAACAAATTTGGTGCTATGCTCAAATTTTCAGAAGTTTTCTTTCAATCAGATTTCTCCTGACCCCAGAAAGCATTCCCTTTTCAGTCATCTCTTTCAGTAGTCTTCCTCTCCACCTACTCCCAAACTAATTTCTCTGAACCACCCTGAGTGCCCCCAGGTGATATCTTCTATTTTCCCTTCCCAGGGAGATCCATGTGTTTTTCCCTAGGCCCCTCTTGTTATCTAGGCTCTCTGGGTCTGTGAATTGTAGCACAGTTATCCTTTACAGCTAATATTCACTTATGAATGAGTACATACCGTGATTGTCTTTATGGCTCTGGGTTACTTCACTCAGGGTAATTTTTTTTTTCTAGGTCCATCTGTTTGTATTCAAATTTCCTGATATCATTGTTGTTTATAGCTGAATAATATCCCATTAAGTAAATATACTACAATATGTTTATGTACTCACTCTTCAGTTGTGGGACATCTATGAACATATGTAAGCAAGCATCCTTGTGGTACAAGAGAGCATCCTTTAGGCATATCCACAAGAGTGGTATGGCCCAGTCACCAGGTAGCTTGATTACTAATTTTCTGAGAAAACGCCATACAGATTTCCAAAGTGGCTGTACAAGTTTGCACTCACATCTGCAGTGGAGGAGTGCTCATCTGACTCCACATCCTCTCCAACATAAGCTGTTATCAGTAATTTTGACCTTAGCCATTCTTATTAAAAGTTACATATAATGGTTTTGTAGTTTCAAACTTCAATACTAAGCAGTGTTTGTTATTACTGTGCTTTCTGTTATCAGTATTTATATTTTCAATAACTTGGTAAATTTAGTATCAAGAGTACATATTTGAAATGTTAAATAACATTTCTATAACAATAACAAATAACATAATGGTATCCAATTTTCTAAATTCATTTATATCCCCATTTTTCAAAGGAATTAAATATCAATGTAAACAATAAGATTCTTCTCAAACTTAGTAAACATTTTTGAAAGATTAATTATGATATTTTGGAGTTACTATGCAAAATATATGAATATATTAGAGTAGTCTGTTTTTCTTTGAAACTGTTAATGATTTTCAAAACTCTTTAGAAATACCTTTTGAATCTTACGTGTGCTTTTACATGTGCTTCCAGTACTTGTCATAATTTTCTCAAATAAAGTTTCAGTGGCATTTCCCCATAATGATAAATTTGTTCAACTATATTGACCTTGCTATTCACTGCTGCATTTCTAGAACTACAATTTTCACAGGAAAATTTGATGTACTATATATTCATACTGTAAATTTTAAAGTAATATCTTCATAAAATTAATGGTAATAAACCTTCAAATTCTTAGGTTGTTCTCATAGGACTTTACATCATGTAAGCAGATGTAAAGAGCCTTACATTCCTATTGCTATCTTCTATTACAAAATGCCAACCTCTGTGTATTTGTGCGTGTGCATGGGTCTATGTGTCTGTGTATGTGTGTGTGTGTTTTAGCTCATCTATCTCAAGATCAAATATTTACGATATTTTCTGCAATCTATGTGATATTTGAAGAGATACAAGACCTAGGAGAGTATTTTTAGTAAGTATTAGAAGAATCCACAGGACATCATAAAAGCCAATGATACTTTCCATGTTCAGATAGGTCATTGTACTATGTCAGTGGGATTAGGAACCACTAGCAGAAGCTTAGGGACAGGACTGAAGAATTCCAGGAGATTACTCATTAACAACAACAAAATTAAATTATAAGAAATGACCACTGTTATTATCTGGTTTTGACTCACAGGTTGACTTTTTTTTTTTTTTTGATGCAATACCTTTAGATCTTGCAGAAAACAAGGAAGCAAATCCCTGTAGGCTAAGCTTAAATGTAGCTGAGAAGTGGCTATATGCCTATCTCTTTTAGCCTTTCCACAAAATTCAGAGGTCAACTGCTCAATCCCATAGGAACCCAGCAGACTACTTCTAAGTAGGTTCAGAAATCAGATTAAACACCCTGCTGAGCAGGAAATTATTAGAACTCCAGTGAAAAACAACATACAACTCTTGGAATGTGTCTCTTCCAAATCCATAAAACAATGGGATATTCATTAACTTCTCTTCTGAGGTAATTTAGTTGAATTTATTAAGTGAGTGGCAAGCTGTTTTGCCCCTTGCTACCAAGCCTATCTCTCTGATTGCCCTGTCACAAACATTTAGAAATTAGAAATATTACATGTTGAAGCAGGAACTTCAGTGATGCTATGAAAAACGGTGAATATTTTTGGAGCTCACAGTATTTTTCTCTCATAATGAATTCTTTTTTTAAAATTAGAAACAAGCCTGCTTCACATGTAAATCCAAGCTCCCTCTCTCTCTCTGCTACTCCCCACCCCCACCAACCCCACACAAAGTTCCCCTCTGCTCCCCAGGGAGGGTGAAACCCTCTATGGGGGATCCCAAAAGTCTGTCATATTATTCAGGGCAGGGCCTAGGCCCTCCTCCATGTATCTAGGCTGAGAGAGCATCCCTCCACATGGAATGGGCTTCAATAGTCCATTTGTACACCAGGGATGAATAATGATCCATTGCAAGAGGACCCACAGATTGTCAAGGCCTCCTCAATGACACCCATATTCAGGGGGTCTGGTTCAGTCCCATGCTGGCCTCCCATCCATCAGTCTGGGATTCACGAGCACCCCTTGTTCAGGTCAGCTGTTGCTGTGGGTTTCATTAGCTCATTCTTGACCCCTTTTCTCTTTACTCTCCCTCTTTGCAACTGGGTTTTGGAGTTCAATTCAGTGTTTAGATACGCGTATCTGCCTCTGTTTTCATCAGTCCCTTGATGAAGGCTCTAGGATGGCATATAAGGTACTATCAATCTCATTATCTGGGAAGGGTATTTAGGGTAACCTCTCCACTATTGCTTAGATTGTGAGTTGGAGTCATCCTTATAGATCTCTGGAAATCTCCCTACTTCCAGATCTCTGCTCAAATCTATAATGGCTCCCTCTGTTACGAAATCTCTCATCTTGTTCTCTAATTTTACCCGCAGACACAACCTTCCTGCTCCACTATTTTCTCCTCTTCCCTGGTCTTTTACCCTTCTCTTTCTCCCAGCTCTCTCTCCCCTCTCCCCATGCTCCCAGTCTGCTCAGGAGATCTTCTCCCCTTTCCCTTCTCCAGGGTACCAAACATGTCTCTCTTAGGGTACTCCCTGTTTCTCAGCATCTCTGGTGGTGTGGATTGTAGGCTGGCAATCCCCTGTTCCACGTCTAAAATCAATATCTGTAGGGGAAGCTGTAGCCACGCCTACTTAGGGACTGGCTACAGGTGTGCCTGACCACGCTTGTGAGGGTGTGGTCAGAGTGAAGTACTGTGACTGCATTTGCACTTTCGGTTTCTCTTTGCTTCTTGCTGTACAGACTGTTGCCACGCTGGCTGGCTAGATCGCTCTGTAAGTAAGGCTTTTCCCTATTAAATACCCTTATATGTCTACCTGACTCTGTATTGGGAATTTCCCACTATAAATATCTGAGTGACTACATGCCATGTTTGTCTTTTTATGACTGGATTACCTTACTCAGGATGCCATCCATTTGCCTACGAATTTAAAGATTCTATTGTTTGTTTGTTTTTCTACTGAATAGTACTGCATTGTGTAATTGTACCACATTTTCTCTATCCATTCTTCAGTTGAGAGATATCTAGGTTGCTTCCAGGTTCTGGCTATGCTGCTATGAACATAATTGATCAGATGTCTTTGTTGTATCAATGTGCATCTTTTGGGTATATACCTAGGAGTGGAATTGGTGGGTCTTGTGGTAGACTGACTCCCATTTTCCCAAGGAACCACCATACTGATTTCCAAAGTGGCACTCCAACCAGCAGTGGAGGACTGTTCCCCTTTCTCCACATCATTTCCAGCATAATCTGTTTTTGGTGATTTTGATTTTAGCTATTCTGCCAGGAGTAAGATGGTATCTCAATGTTGTTTTGATTTGCATTTCTCTGATTGCTAAGGATGTTGAGCACTTCCTTATGTGTCTATCAAGCATTTTAGACTCCTCTATTGAGCCTCAATCTTCCTGGGGAGTGGAGGGGGGATTGAGTGAGGGGTTGGGGCAGTTGGTGGTGGAGGGGATGGAGAGGGAGCTGGGATTGACATGTGAAGCAATCTTGTTAGTATTTTAAATAAATTATAAGGAAAAAAGAGAAAGAGAAATTCTCTATTTAGCCCAGTACCCCACTTTTTGATTGGACTATTTGGCTTTTGGAGATTAGCTTCTTGAGTTCTTTGTAATTTTTGGAGATCAGGAACCCACAGTACTCTATTCTATCTTTAATTAAGGTCATATAGTTAATGATTATTCTTGCTCATCAAACCCAAATAAATTTTTTGTTATGTTGGCTTGCACTTCAAGACCAAGTAATTGGATGTTTGACTTAGGCAGTGGTTACTAAATATTTTGAGAATTACAGAAGTGATTAACTTTGTTTATTCCTTGTATCATGATAAGGAAGTCTTTTGTCCTCTTTTGCTTGGGGTATACAAGGGCTATGAGCAATAAACTTGGGCATCTACAGTATTAATTGAGAGCCCTAACCAACACTATGTCGTGTTATTTGTCTCTTTTGTTTTTCAATCATCACTGCCCTTTTCACACACAATTGAATGGGTCAGCTGTTCCTGACAGAAAAAGATGACTACTATGATTTCCAATGGCCTGATTTGCTAATTTAAGCCCAATAATTTCTAGTTCATGACCAATATAACTAAAAAAGACCGATATAACTAAAAAGAGAATATGTTTATGGTTATAATAAGAGATAAAAGAGGACAAAAGCAGTCTAATGGATGCAATGAATATTGATGTCTGTTGATAATCTATTCTCCTAAGTTCTGAATTATGGCTTCACCATAATTCATATTTAAAAAGTTTCAATATTCATATCTATAAACTCTTCAAGACAATAGTATTCAAAAAAAGAACTACGTATGGGCCTTTGCCAATGTGGGAAACTGTCCAACTTAAGCTCCTACTGATCCCTGGTATTTCTAATTCTATGATAATGAGTAGATTAATGACAATACACAGAATGGGACAAGATATTCTCCAAATCAACAGCAACAGAGGGCTGATATAGAAAATAAATAAAGAACTCAAGAAATTAGACATCAAAATCCAAACAATCTAATTAAAAGTGGGGTACACATCTAAACAGAAAAATTTCAACAGAAGAATTTCCAATATGTGAAATCACTTAAAGAAACGGTCAACATCCTTAGCCATTAGAGAAATGTAAATCAAAGTTACACTGAAATTCCATATTACATTAGTCACAATGGCAAATATCAAAATCATAAGTGACAACTTTAGCTGGAAAGGATGTAGAACAAAGGGAACACTCCTCCAGTGCTGATGTTGGTGGGAGTGCAAACTCATACTGCTTCTTTGGAAATCAATAAGGCAATTTGTCAGAAAATGGGAATTGATCTCCCACAAGACCCAGCAATATCCCAACTGTATTTTACATATATCCCAATATGTATTTTAGATACATACCTAAAATCATTCTGTAATATGACAAGGACACTTGCACATCAGTGTTAATAGCAGAGTTACTTCTAATAGCCAGAACCTCCAGACAAAGTAGATGTCCATAAATCAAAACCAGATATAGAAAGTGGAATGGATTTACAGTTACAGAATGGAGTATTGCTCAGCTGTTTAAAACAATGACATCAGGAAATTTTCTGACAAATGGATGGACTAGAAAAGATCATGCTAAGTGAAGTAACACAGAGCCAGAAATAAAAACATGGTATATAGTCACACATAAGTGTGTAGTATTCGTAAGCAAAGAGGAAACATGCTAAAACCTACTGACCCATCAGGCAAATGAAATAAGACAAGAAACAAGATGGACTCAAGTTGGAGGGTGCAAAAATCAATAGAATGCACATTGCCAGTAGATGGGGCCAGCTCCCTGGAAGGGGGAATTCAGATGGGAACAGGAGAGGGATCATGTTGGGGAAGATGAAGGGAGACTGTCCTGGGAGAGACAACTAGAGTCTGGGGGCATCTCTAGAATGAGCCAGAAACCTAGAGCAATGGAAACTCTAAAGAATCTATGAGGGTGACCATAGCTAAAATTCATGACAATGGGGGATAAAGAGCCTGTAAGAGTCATCCCCTGTAATCAGGTGAGACTTCCATTGGAAGGACTGTAACCCCAACAGAGCCACAAATCATTTGAACTGCAATTTGTCCTGCCTCCAAGTTGTGTTGGGGTAAAGATGGCACTGAAATTGTGCAGGTATAGGTTGGAACTTCTGTAGTGAGATGATTGATCATGCTGTGTGAAGATTCACCAGCGAGATTCAGAGGAAGTGACAGGTATGGAGGAGAGGTTATGAAAAACATAGATTATTACAAAGAAGTTAATCTAATATTTAAGAGCAAGTTAGCATCAAGCCTAAGCTAAGGCCAAGATTTCAAAATTAATAATCTTCATGTCAATATGTGGGACAGGAGATCTAAAAAAGTCCTAATATAAACCTCTGCTTTTCAAAAAAAGTCTGGAATGTGTGTGTGTGTGTGTGTGTGTGTGTGTATGTGTGTGTGTGTTCAGGTAGTTTTTATATACTTTACTAAATTATTTTGTAAATATCTACAATGGAATTTCAACTTGTTAAGAACAACATATTTCTGCTTCGAACACTGGCCACATTGCATTTAGAAGACTGTGTTATATATTATATCACTCCATTGTGAAACTCTCAGGCTTTCTTCCAACACCTGATTGTGTTATGTTCCCTAGACTTTAGATGTGCGAGATAGATTCAACATAAAAAGTTGAAAACTCAAATATGACTCATTCTCAGTGCTTGGACCAGTCATTAGTTTCTGCATTAATCTTTTCTCTTGATCAAAGACAGAAAAACTCTAGTCTATTATGATGAACAATAATGTTGAAAACAGTTTTACTACATATTTACTACATATGAGAATCTCTTTTATTAGATTCTTAACAAGGGCCAGAGAGATTTCTGCTGCCCTAGGTTTTTAACAGGTTACCGTACTGAATATGTATCCCCCTTATAGTTTGCATACTTGTGCGAAACCCATGTGTTTTAGCAGGAGTATAATTGATTCATGTAAGATATATGAGTGCCATGCTTTTTTATTTCATTTTATTTTATTTTATTTCATTTCATTTTATTTTATTTCATTTTACATTCCAATCACAGTACACGCTCCCACCCTCCCTCTGCCCCCACTGGCCTTCCTCATAGACCACCCACATCCACTCCTTTTAAAGGGGAACAGCTCCCACTTGGAGTCAAGAAAGCCTGGTCCATTAAGTTGAGACAGGTACAAGGCCCTCGCCTCTCTACATTAAGGCTGAGCAAGGCAGCCTACAATAAGGAATGAACTTCCCAAAGCTATCTCATGCACCATGGATAGATCCTGGTCCTACTGCCAGGTGCCCATCAGATACTCCAAGCTGCACAACTGTCTCCCACATGCAAACGTCCTAGTTCAGTGCCATGGAGTCCCCACAGCTGTTGGTCTAGAGATTATGAGTTCCCATGAGCTTGGTTCAGCTGTCTCTGTAGAATTTCCCTTCATGATCTTGACTTCTCTTGCTGATTTATTTCCTCTTCCCTCTCTTCCTGGATTCCCTGAACTCAGCCTGGCCTGGCGCTTGGTTGTGGATCTCTACATCTGGTTCCATCAATTACTGAATGAAGGCTTTATGGTGATAATTGGGAATTCACCAATCTCGGGGGAAGGCTAGGTCAGGTACCCTTGCCACTATTGCTAGGAGTCTTAGCTGGGTTTCCTGGGAATTTCCTCAGCCTTGTGGTTTCCTGGGAATTTCCCTTTTACCAGATTTCTCCCTAACCCCATAATGACCTTCTCTAACAAGATATCTTTTTCATTGCTCTCCTATTCTATCCCTCCTCCAACTTAATCTTATTTATCCTACATGTTTTCATCCTCTATCCGCTCTCCTCCACCATCCCCTTGCCCCCATTTTACCCAAAAGATCTCATCAAATTCCCCTTCCCAGGGCTATCAATGCATCCCTCTTAGTGTTCTCTTTTTTACCTACCTTCTTTGAAGCTGTGACTTATAGTACAGTTATCTTTTACTTAAATCTAGTATTACTTATAATGTATACATACATACTGTGTTTGTCATTCTCAGTGTGAGTTACATCACTCAGTATTTTTTCTTTGTTTTTTGTTCTGCCCATTTGCCTTCAATTTTATAATATATTTTTTTCCAGGTGAATAATAAACCATTTTATAAACACCACATTTTCTGTATCCATTCTTTAGTTAACAGGCATCTAGTTTGTTTCCAGGTTCTGGCTATTAAGTATAATGCTGCTATGAACGTAGTTGAGTGACTGTCCTTGTGGTATGATTGAGCATCCTTTGGTTATATGCCCAGAATGGTATCACTGGGTCTTGGAGTACATTGGTTGCCAAATTTCTGAGAAACTACCATATTGATTTCCAAAGTAGATGTACAAGTCTGTACTCTCACCAGCAATGAAGGAGTGTTCCCCTAACTCCACACCCTCTCCAAAATAAGCTGTCATTGGTGTTTTTGTGTATGGCCATCCCCAGGGAAGAACTTTCAATTTTTTTGTTTCATACCAAATGGTCATCTTGAAAACAAACATGAGTATCAAAAAAACTGAGCACTCTCTACCTTAGTGTTTAGAAACATCTCTCTCTCTCCCTCTCTCTCTTCCTCTCTCTCCCTCTGTGTGTGTGTGTGTGTGTGTGTGTCACTCAAACATACAATCTCACACATATACATAAATACGTATGTATTAACATTTAGGATTTTGTAGTCTAATATTCATACTGATAATTTCGTATATCTAACACAACTATTACTAAGTCTAATCCTATTTGGAGAGGTTGCATCCACCTTCGATATTAAATATGGCTTATGTTGAAAAAAGCGATTAGATGCCATCATTTCTATAAGCCTGCCAAAGTAAAATTATAAATTGGTGACAATATCAGGTTGAAACATAAAATGCCACACAGTAATAATTGGGATAAATAAAGTAACCATTTAATTTTATAAATAATACTAGTGCCATTGTTTATTGAAGGCCTAAGTTTTCCAGCTAAGTAAGATCTATAAAAGATAAAAAATACTTAGCATGGGATTTGAAAATACATCTTTTGCATATTATATAGTAATAAATATTATTCTAAATTCAAGATGAAAGAAAAAGTAAAGCACGAAATTTGAGAATTTTATTCATGTGGACGGCAGAATAATGATAAATGATAGTTATTATAAACCACTGAAGTTTTAGAAGATAAAAAATTTGGCTAACATCTGCTCCAACTGGAAGAAAAATAGAGGTTGGTTATTTCAGTCAATCTGCTCAAACAGCTTCGAGTTGAGTTTTACTTGTTTATTCCTAAATTACTGAGTACAGCAAAGTAAACAAGAAAATCTACTTTCAGTTTTCTCTTTAAGGGATTAAATGTTTTTCTTTCAGTTCCAAATTACACAAAAGACAGTCATATCTGGTGTATAAAATACATCAAATTCTAAGATGTTTTTAAAATCACTTTTATAGTGCTTAGTATTTCAAAGGATTAAAAAAATCTTTTATTTTTAATTCATTTACTTTTTAACCTGATTCATGTCAACACAAAATTTATCAAAATAATTCATGAACATAATCAAAGTGTTGTTTATATTTAGGGTCCATTTGGTTATTGTAGAAATAACTACACATTGTATCTTTTGATATTGGTCAAGGATATTTTACTTACTTTCTACTTAATTCAAAATAAATGTGTCTTAAATATAACTAGGCAAATCAATTGCTGTTTGTAATTTTCGTAAGCATCAAATATTTTAAACATATCAAAGTAAACCTAACCAGTCAAGAAATGGTTGATATATCTCCTAAATAATTAATTTAAACATTTTGTTAGATCTTCAAAGGATCAAAAGGAACTGATATGATCCACCTTGTCCTTTAAAAATAACTTTATACTTGACTTTTATGTAATGAAAACTGCAATGAAATACTTAAAGAAAATACTGCAACAATATTTAAAGCATAGGTAACAAATAAAACATAGTATTACTATAACGAAATACTGGTCTCTCAGGAATTCAATGGAATGTAAGTCTTCATCTTCACTGAAACTCAACCAGTATGTGTATGACCCTGTCTTTCTATTTTACAGTTAATATATCTGACTACTTTTGTTTCCTGTTACTCATTTGTTGTATTAGAAATTTTTTTTTTTGGTAAATAAGAACATTAACAGCAGAATTCAGCAGAATTCATCCTTGAAATTTAAGCTTACATCTGTATGTCAACACAAGGAATTTTATAACATGGTAAAATAAATTATTTTTCTCTTTTCAATTAAGAATGATAAAATGGTCAAAACCATATCATAATCTATCCTCACATAGGATGTAAATGATTATGAGATTTAAGACTAACTGTGATATGAGAAACTGTGAACATTTGAGTGTGTGTGTGTCTGTGTGTGTGTGTGTGTGTGTGTGTGTGTGTGTGTACATGTGTCTGTCGTCTTTCTGTCTGTGTTTCATTACTTGGTGATCTTGAAATCTCCACAGGGAATATTATGACATGCCATTCTATAAGCACATAAATTTGGTCAGTCTCCATTGTTTACATTCATATAAATGACCACAGCTCTCCAGGGGTTGATCGCTTAGAATATCACACAGAATTAATAATAAGCTAGTGTAAATTTGACCACAAATAGTACATAGTTTGTTAGTTAATTGTAAATTTTTTGACTTTACTGAATTTAGATGAATCATCATATCTTTGGAGTTCCTTTACATTGTACTTCATATGCATTATGATGTTTAAAAATCTTATGTGATTCACGCATCACTCTTAGGGTCCTTCTTGCTACCTAGCTTTTCTAGAGCTGTGGATTGTAGTTGAGTTATCTTTTGCTTTAAGTATAATAGCCACTTATGAGTTAGTAGATATCATATTTATCTTTCTAAGTCTGGGTTACCTCACTCAGGATAATTTTTCTTCTAATTCCATCCATTTGCCTGAAAATTTCATGATGTAATTGCTTTGTACAGCTGAGTAATACTCCATTGTATAAATGTACCACATTTTCCCAACTGTAAGTGGTTGTAAGTGCAGTAATATGGACAATGAAGTTAAACCATCACAGGTAATATGTAGCTCTTTATTGCATGGGGTTTCCTTTCTTGAAAGGAATATAACTATTTTCGTTGTTATCTTAAAAGTTGTGTCAGTAATTTAATTCAAGGCAAGTATTACAATTAGGAAGTGAAATGTGTCAGAGCAAAGGGTTAGCTCTGTGGGAAAAAAAACCTTTTTTGTCCTCAAGGTAAGACTTGTCTCTATGCTATTTGGGGTAATTGACTTATCTTGTTGTATTTTGCTCATTTATGACAGATTTTTATCTTGTAAAAACTGTCATTTAACTTTTTTAAACAGTTTTTATTATTTTGAAATAATAATTAGATTTCAATTCCCCCTGAAAATTCTTCCATGTACCATTTCTTGTGCTTATAGATTTGAGTCTTTTTTCATTAATTGTTATTTCATGAATACATACAAGTGTGTGTGTGTGTGTGTGTGTGTGTGTGTGTGTGTGTGTGTGTGTGTGTGTGTGTCTGTGTCTGTGTCTGTGTGTGTGTTCCTAAATATAGTTTTCTCAGATTGTATATTGTTAGTTGTATGTGTGTTTTGGGGACAGACCATTTTGCATTGGATAACCAATTGTTTGTTTTTCTCTAGGGAAATCTATTTCATTGTTTTCAGTATTACTTACTTGCTAGTAATTAGTTCTCTGTGTGGGTTGGGACAATATTATTCAACATTTTGTGGAATAATTCTTTTTATTTTTCACAAAGAGTATTTTGGTAACTCTTGAAAATAATTTAATTTTATATAGTATATTTGGTTATTATTTTACTTCCCAAGATTCTCCCCAACTCCCGGGGAGGTAACTTCATGTGCCTTTGCTTTTTTTCTGTCTTTCTGTTCTCTCTCTGCAAAAACAGTAAAAATTTCTGCCAAACAAATTCAAAACAAACAAACCCTAAAAAAGTTAGACAGAGAATTGTTAAAACAAAACTAGATGGAAACAATGAAGGAAACATGATTGTATTTTGTTGGATAAATACTCCTGGGCATGTAGTGTGCTTGATATACATAGTGACAATTCATGAAAACAAGGAAACAAACAAAAAACACAACAACAAGCAAGCAAGCAAACAAACAAAAAAACTGATCTCTCCTTTCCCATCAGGTATATCCTAAAAAGAATTTATTGGCTAAGCTTTTCTGGGGCTTCAGTGGAATCCAGTTAAGCTGCCAGCTTGTACCTGAGAGGGGAAGTGTGGAGTGAGAAAGGGAATGTAAAGAAGCTAAGAAAGAGACAGAGATTCAGGATACAGTCAGATGGGCAATCCAGTGAATACTGAACACTGCAAGTTTGTTCTTCAACATTTTAATGTACTCCAAGCCAAAGGGGGACATAGCAGAAGACTTCTATTATCATGTATAAGAAGCAAACAGACTTTCTTCCCTTAAGCCTCCAAGCAATAGTAACCACATCTGTTATCCTGCTTTGAGAGTCAAAAGTAAACCCATTTCATCCCATTTTTGTTATTATTCACATAAGACATTTGATACCAAGACCAAAACATTCTGCAGTAGCCAATCCTTAGGCCTGCAAGGCTTTTGACTTACTAAGGACAGCTTCTTTTTGTTGTTGTTGTTTGTTTGTTTTGTTTTTTTGCTTTGTTTTGTTTTGTTTTTTCGAGACAGGCTTTCTCTGTGTAGCTTTGGAGCCTATCCTGGCACTCACTCTGGAGACCAGGCTGGCCTCGAACTCACAGAGATCTGCCTGCCTCTGCCTCCAGAGTGCTGGGATTAAAGGCATGCACCACCAACTCCTGGCTACTAAGGACAGCTTTAAACTCTCTGACCTACAGGCAAGATGAAGCCAAGCCATCTTTATGGACCCTGACAGTCACAAACCCAAGGAAATGAGTTCCACCCTCAGAAGCCATGTGAAAAGGCAGCATCGGTGAAGTAGTCATCCTAATACTGAGGAGATAGTCAAAATTAGATGCCTGAAAATTGATGGCGAACCAGTCTAGCCTAACTGAAAGTCCCAGGCAAGTAAGTGACTGTATCAGAAGATATAAAGGTGGTCAGATCATGCATGAGGAATGACAACTGTGAATTTTCACTAACTTAGGATATGTTTGAGCCGAGCATTAATGTGCTCCATCAAATGAGTACTATTGCTGGAAATGCATGGATGATTGTATAAACCAAACTATAATGAATATACATAGGTTATCTCTGTTAAATTTTCCATATACAAATTTTGTTTGAATATATATTATTACATTAATACCTACATTAAATTCTAATACTTATTTATTCTTTTATTTAGTATTCCAAGCAAAATTAAGCAATAGGCCAGCTTTCAAATTAAATAATAAATATATACAATCAGGTTCTTGCTGTAAAGATATGAATTGATAGCTATATTTTCTCCTTAGTGGTTAATTTATTAGAATGTCCTTGCCTCTCTTTTAGTAGCTTGAAGTATGGTTCATTGTTCAATGTTTGGTGTCAGAGTGAGAGATTTCCCTGCTACCAGGTTTCCTCCAAAGACTAAGCTAATTAAATACAAAGCAAGAGAGATTTCCACCTTAATAAATCTGCCTGTGGGTTAAGACACTATGTCACTTTGGTAGTTCTTTCAATAAAGCCAGAAGGTATTAAAACTAGAGCTTTTTTAATCATTGCCCATGACATTACTAATAGTCTTCCAACTCTACCATATCAGAGTGAATGCTTTGACAGGGAAATTTCCCCATACTGTTCTCAGTAATCTAAGTAAGATGGCCAGCACTTAGGACAAGTGACAGATTCTATTTAAAAAATCCATACACATATAACTTAGTAGCAGAAATAAAAGAAACTGATTTCCAACTATGTAAATTCTAACTGACCAAGCATAGCAGTATTTGTCTATAAAACAACTTCATATCTTGCATTTATTAATTATGACAAAAGCAGTCAAGTGGGGTGAGTGTGAAAACTGATGTCATTTTTGAATATCCCATTTGCTTTCATCATGTCCATATATAAATAAAATGAATTATATCATTTTATATATAATTTCTCAGTGAGAAAAATGTAAGATTGATTTATATCTGATCGTACTTGTATTTGGACTAAAAATTTCAGTCTTTGCATATTTGCTAGATATCTACCACCTCCGAGAAGCTACTACTTTTCAAGTTCATAGCTCCAGGAAAAACAAGGTCCTGCTAAATCTGGAATTTTAATGTTAGTTTCATGAGCTAAGTCAGAATAGAGACCTGCACCATGTTGTCAATGTGTTGAAGTCTTCATTATAAAAATCCAATGCTGCATCTTTTAATGAGCTAATTCCCAAAGTTCATATTTTATATTCTCTCTTATGCTTATGGAGATATTTCTGCAGAGCTGACAAGAATGACTTTATTATTTCTGTGGATCCTTCTGCTTTCTAATACAGTCATGATTGCATAACACAAAATAGCTACTGATATTCTCTTATATCATCTCTGCAGGATCACATTCATTCTTTTCTTTCCATAATAAGAGATGTCATAAGAAGATCCTAGGTCAAAAGTGAAACACTAGTTATCTGGAAAACAATACTTGGCCACCATTATGCAGCTCAAGAAGACTCCCCAATCATTGAGTTAGTAAGAACCAATCAATTGCTTTGTTTCCAGCTCTCCTGGTAATTGCTGCTGAATTATTTAAGATACTTACATTTGTGGAAGGTATTTACTCATTGAATCCTTATATATGTGTCTAAGAAACACAGATACATCAGCAATGGAAAATATATTCTCCTCCATAATGCTTTTTGTCAACCAATAGACCCTGTAAAAATGATGTATCTTATTGCCTCACTGTTCATCGCACCTGATTTTCTTACAATGCTTTTGCATAAATATAAAGCTGTATTGATATAGTTCTGTTTCATAAAGAATAAAAGCATGGTATTCCCTACCTTGTAAATACTAGCAAATTATCTACTAAGTTTAATAGTTGCATCATAAAACTAAAGACATTGATTTTATTGAAAGAATGGATATTGTAGACAAAAAAGCTTTTTGGAAGGTGGCTGACATTAACAAAAAAGAAAATGAGTTCGTTTGTTTTGTTTTTTGCAAGAAGCATTGATTTAAAAATCATAAATAGAATTAGATATTTTGTATACTTCATGTTTTCATAATCTTAGTAAATTCATACCATAGTTCACTTTATTGAAAAACCACAAATGTTCAAAAGACATTTTCTGAAAAAAATCCTTCATTCTATATTTTCCTGGAAGCTCATCCTCACATGAAAAATCTCATTATTTTCAAATATGTTGTGAAGATTGGGAGACAGAGTTGCTGAAGGACAGACAAATCATCTTACCAAGCAAGGTTAAATTTGTTAGGTTGGATATAATCAAGATGTAGAGTTCTTTACCTAGATATAAACCAAGGGTTGTCTATAACTAACTACTGAAGGCTGTTCCAAGAAGCCATCAGTAAAACTTCTGAGACATTAATCAGAATCTAAATCCTTATTATCTTTATGTTAATTCCCAGTTTCAAGGTCTTCAGACTGTGTTAGCTTTCCCATTTTTTAATTATGGATTGGACAGTGCACCTCAGAATTTACTTGGAAGTTAAAGCCTGCCCATTCAGAAATATTTGTAAAAAGAACAGTCTTTCCAATATTCTGCTCTTTGTTCCTCTAGGATACCTGCAGGTGTTCAAATACATCTTTGCAATGATGTTATGATTGTTCAAGTTGACAGCATATTTTCCATCTTCATGACCAGAATATTCATAAAAATTATGAATAGTCATTTTCATAAATGACTAGACATTTTAATAGATTTGGATATCAAGAACCCACTGCAAAGTCCTCCTAATGTTTTGTATGAAACAATTACATAATTTTATGGAGTCATAAATGAGATTGATTATGAAATCACATAATCATCACACTACTTTTAACACAATGGCATTCTTGTTTTTCATTATTTACCTTCTATGAAAATACAAAGTTTATAAGTGATGATGTCAAAGGACTCAAATTTTCAATATCCAAAGCAGAAGCAAACTAAAAGAGAGCAGTTAACCTTATAAAATATAATATCTTCACCTACATGTTCATTAGAGATTTATGGAGAGGGAAATCAAATTTATTATTACTAAGCTGGTGTAAGTAAAGAATAAGGTAACCATAATAACCAATATAAGAAATAGCCTAATATACCAAGACCTATAATTGCAAATATCTTCTATACCAGAGAATCCACAAAGAAATCCTGTTAAATCAGTCTCCTTTTTTCTTCAACTCATCTTCAGTCTATAATATCAAGACAATCTCAATGTAGGGAGGAAGGGTATGTATTGTTAAAGATGCAAAGAGGAAGAGATGAGTTGTTTCAATTGTACTAGAAGGATGAAAAGATGTGAAAACAAAGCAATTCTAAAAGGTCTGATGTTTTATTCCAACTTTATGCTTAGGAAGATAAGAAAGTGAATAGGAGTGACATTTCTAACCCAAATATATATGAGATTGGTTTGGATAAAAATTGGTAAAACAGCAATTCAAAACCTTTTCTACTTCTACTGGTTCATATTTTGGATAAAGGTAAATTATAGAAGAGAATCTGATTTTCTCATTTTCTCAATGTTTTTGTGTTTAAATGTTCTTTGTACACCAACATATGTAAATGAAGAGTAATCATGCTCTACCTAACTACAGAAACCACTTTGTAGTATTTTTATTAATTCTTAGAATTTGCATAAAACATATTCTCATCATAATCACAAACACCTCCTAACAGATAAAAATTCCACTTCCTGTTTTCTTGTTGTTTATAAGAGACTATCTCTTTGCAACTGTCTTGATCCTCTTACCCTTACATATTCCTGTCTTCCCTTGCAGAGACTATCTGAGGATAATGTAAGAGTTGTGTTTAAACTGGGGGTAAGCAGCCATGATATGTTGACCTCTGTACTTTGACCATGGCTTTCTCTTTGTCTACATTTGAGGCAAAAAGAAGCTTTTTGAAAAGGGATGACAGCTACACTTATTGTACATACAAGGATAATTTTTTTAGAATATAAGTATATTATACAGTTTAGGAAACTGCTGTAATAAACCCTCTTCTATATTCTACAGCATCACCAGACATCAGTAGTTGACTAAATTTATCCCAGGCCTGAATTTATTCCAAAGATGTTAGCCATAAGTAATATTTCCTGATCTGTAGTTACTACTATATATAAATAACTTTTAGGAAGCCTATGTGAGTAACTTGGACATTTGAGTAACTCAGGTCAGCATATCATTTTACCATTTAGTTATTTGCTCAGTCTAGAAGTGTTGTTTCAGTGTAACCAGTATGCATCACTTAATAAAAGGCTTTATTAAATGCACTGAGAATTTGTGAGAATAGTTAATCAATAACATATTTAATCATTAAATTGTATCATATATTCTTTTGATTAATAAAAGAAATGCTCCTACAACTTTTGCTGTGCCTTCCATAAACTTGTTATAAAACAGAGATGTCCAATCCCTAGAAAATAATAATCATTTAATATTTTTAAAAAGAAAATAACCACATATTTAAAAGTAATACATTTTGATTATTTTGGTTTTATTTCTCTGTTATGTTTCATGTGTTTCTATTGGACATTTTATACATAGTTACTCCCAGTGAAACTTTCTTCTTACATAGTGATTTATTTAGGGTTATCATAAAATAAGCTATAAAGTAGGAAGATATTTGTATTATTTGTGTTTAAGAAGCAGTTTATATAAAACAACACAGATATATGAATTGATAGCAAATCAATTTATATATGAATTATAAGAATACATCAATTTAATTTAAATAAATACTCAAAATTATACTAGGATCCAGTCATCAGTAGATAGCCACCTGTCCTTTTCAGAAATAACCACAGAGAATTTCATTGTTAAGCCTTAGATATATCTGTTATTTGAGTAGTTATGGGACAACTTAAATTTTGATTGTCCTTGGTAAATAGGGTGAATGATTCAGTGAGGAGATAGAAGCATATGGCAGTAAGTAAGTAAATATGAGGTACTATATAACACTAATAAAAATCTTGCTGCAATCTGAAAGCGACTGGGACTCAGGCATATTTCCTCACATGTATAATAAGAATTGGAATCAGGATACATTTTATTGGGAAAGAGGTTTTGCTTTTGTTTCCCCAAAAAGAAAAAGTTGTGAATTCCTTCAAAGTTAAGTGATGTTAGATTTGACTGGGGAAAAATTCCTGAAAATTTTGGCTAAAAACATAGAAAAGGAACAAAAGAAAAACTACAAGACAGGTGATATATAAGTTGATCCATTGATATGGCAATGGCTCTGACACTGGATAAAACATGATAAATCTTGTTGTCTACAGAATATTCATGACTTATTTTTACATGCCTTCCTTTCATGTGACATAGAGACTCAGAGTTTGTTTATACAATTCAAACACATATATAAAGTGAATGCATGCATGTTACCTGATCAAACAAAAAAACTGAGTTGTGCTTACTGCACATTTCATACTTGTGTTAATGTACATATAGAGGTTATATTTAAAAGTTTATGTGTTCTCAGTAAAAAAAGGACCAGGTACTAATGAAGACAAGTAGTCCAGGTGACTCAACCTCTCATAATGCTCTGTTACAGTTTCCTTAAAATTATTCATGAAGAACAGTTACTAGCTGAGATGGTCCAGCCTCACAGACTATTTCTTCCAGGACTTCAGATAAGCCCTGTGCTTTCTCATTACACAGGGTCTATACAAGGCATGATGCAGCTAGCTTTCCCAGAACTTGACCATTATCTTAATTTTCTCAAAGTCCCTAAAGATTACTACCAGCCAAAGACAAGAAGTAATATAGAGAACACAACACCCAAATTCCAAAGACATGAGGTAGGTGGTTTTTGGTCATTTGGTGGGTTATGAATGCTTGTTATGGTTTAGAGTTTTGCTTATAAACTGTTATTGGTCATGGTCAGAAAAAAGAAACCAAGGATAGGAGATTAGATTCTAGGACCTTATTCTAAAAAAGAATATAGGGTTGAAAGGATAAAAGAGTAGATTATTGAACCTAATTTTAAACAAAAACGTGAACACTGTTATCAAACAGTTTACATTGGTATCAATATTCATGTATTGATAGAAATTTAAGGCTATTTCTGTTATACTGTATATATGTTTCTATTATTGTTTAATATATTCCACTTATGAATCTCATTTAATAATATAATGTAGAGTTCTACTCCTATTGTAGAACTCAATCAAACTTATAGTCATGTTAGGTATATTTCTAAGGATAGAAAGAAATATTTTAGATAGATAAATAATCTTCAGATATTCTAGAAATCTATAGAATATGACATTAAAGATGTCTTTATAACTTAAGGCTTCTCATGAAAGTGAGACAAGTCTGTTCCTGGCAACAACAGTCTATTTCATAAAAGGATGATAGACATTGAAGAGCCTCCATATGGACTTTGATTTCTGTATGGCAAAGCAAGTCATTTGTCCTTGCCTTGACTGTGGACAGTATGCTGTCCGTATTGGATAAGCAGGACACAAAATAAGGCAACTGCTGAACTTTGCCAAGAAGAGATAATACAATCCTCTAAAATTCCTGATTCACAAAAGGCCTGTCTGATATTCTAGATTTGTAGGCCAGTGATGGATGTCCAGCATGCCAGAGTAACCTTAGGTGACTGTCCAGGCATCTAGTTGTCCAAGTGTCTCTTTTTTTAAATAGAAGGAAGGGTTTATTTGAGGGTTACAGTTCCAGAGAGATAGGTGTCCATTACTACCATAGCAGGAAGCAGAGCATCCAAGTGTCTCTTTCATTCCTAGAGTTTTGGAAATTGATTGTTCTACAATGCCAGTTTACTCAGGTACTATTATATTCTCCTCAGGTCTTTGGTGGATTTGAATGCTAATCTAAATAGAAATAGTTACAGTTTTTTTTTTTGTTCCCAAATTAAGAAGGAAAAAAACTAGCAAACAGGTATAAATTGTATAATGTTGATAGATATAAAAGCTTAAGATTTTTATGTTAGAAAATGTTTTGAGGGCTTCAAAGATAGGTTGTGCTTTGATAATAGTATCTAAGATAGAAAGTGAATTAGATGCAAAGTTTTGGACCCACAAAGATAGTATAGAAAATGGAGCATCCCTTCAAATTTGCCAAATGCAAATGCACTGGATATTGTAAATGTAATTCTTACGTTTGTTTGTTTGTTTCATTTTTTAAGTCATTGTTTCTCTGTATTGTTTTGGATCCTATCCTGGAACTCGCTCTGTAGACCACGATGGCCTCCAACTCACAGAAATCCACCTGCTTCTGCCTCTCGGGTGCTGGGATAAAAGTCATGCACCACCAACGCCCAGTGTAAATATAATTCTTAAATAATAATTGATCTTATTGTACATAATTTGATTATGTTATATTGGAAATCATTTTATTTAGACAAAAGGGGAAAATGCTGCAAGATATTTGGCATACATTTATGCTGTGTAAAATATGTCACTCTGACTGGTTTAATAAAACTCTTAGCAGCCAATTATTAGACATGAAATATAGATAGGACTTCTGGACAGAGACAGTCCTGGGAAGAATAAATGAAGAGACACCAGCAAGAAAACGTGGAAGCAGCATATGCAGGAGGAGAGTAAAAGCCATCATCCAAGTTGCACCATGTAGTTTCATAGAAATGGGTTAATTTAAGTTTTAAGAGCTAGTTAGATACAAGCCTATGGAAAGAACAAGATTTTGCAATTAATACTAAATTTCTGTATTGTTATTTGTGAGCTGGTGGTCCAAAAGAAATATCTGACTACAATGATGTGAATCTCTGACCTAAATGTCTTTCCCTTATTTTTTCCATGGTAGTTCTTTCTAATTGTCTGCTCTCAATTAAACAAGTCTATGCTCTTTTTTTAGAAGAAAAAACCTAGAGATTATTGTGAACACAGAAGATTCAGTTCAGAAAATTATGATTGAATGACATGTAGGTTTTGAAAAAAATAAATCTGTGTAACAAGGCTAAAAATCTTCATTCTTCCAGTAGCTGATGGAAGCAGAAGCAGACACCCACAGCTAAACACTGAACTAAACTCTGGAATTCAGTTGCAGAGAGGAAGAAGTGATAAGCCAAGGAGTCAAAACCAGGGTGGAGAGACCCACAGAAACAGCTGATCTGAATAAGGTGGAGCTCATGGACCCCAGACTGAAAGCTGAGAATACAGCATAGGACCAACATAGACCCGCTGAATGTGGGTGTCAGTTAGGAGGCCTGGCCAATTTATGGGGCCTCTATCAGTAGATAAAAATTTATCCCTGGTATACCAATGGACTTTGGGAGCTCATCCCACATGGAGTGATTCTCTCTCAGCCTGGACACATGGAGGATGCCTAGACCCTGCCCAGTATGATATGACAGACTTTGGAGAACCCCCATAGAGGGCCTTACCTCCCTGGAGAGCAGAAAGGGGATGGGATGGGGGATATTGGGCTGCAAGGAAGGAGGGGAGGGAGAGGGAACTGGAATTGTAAAATATGTAAATAATAAATTAGAAACAAGCTTGTTTCTAATTTAAATAAAGAAAAGGAAAAAAGTCTTGTTAGTATTAAACTATCACATGTAAATTTTAATTTTTTCATACTATTATGGACTATATCTCTATGTTAAAATGCCCACATAACTAAAGCAATATTTTTAAAACTTTAGTGTGTCAAAAATTGAACCTCATTGCTTCACAGAGTTCTTTAAAAGAATATTTAAAGTAAACTAAATATGAATTGCAAGATAAAGGGAGAAATATGTTTATGTGGATTGCCATATAGTGTAATTGATTTTCTAATAAAGTGTAGAAACCTGACATGAGACAGGCATACATGAACAGGGTCCCTTGTGAAGGCATGTTTATATGAAGAAGTCTACTTAGCATAGTTTATGGAATAATAAGCATTCCAAAAAAAACACATAAGGAAAACCAGGAAATAAAATAGATTAGAAACAGTGCTCCTTTGCAACTATTATAGAGAAAAGTTTCTTGCAGATGCTTTGATTTCAGACTTCAGTCTCTAGAAATGGTAAATGATAAGTTTGTATTGTTTTGGACACTTCAGTATTGATATATCATGTTTCTCCTGGGAAACTGCAAATTATTATTAGATTTCCTATTAATCATTCAAAAGTAGAATATGGATTCTACATCTATAAATTACCTGTGTGTAATTAGAACATCTGAAAACTATAATGCCAATGCTGAAGTGCTACATCAGATAACCTTAAGAATGATAGAAGTTAATTACAACTAATATTTTCTAAGATAACATGTGAATTTTGAAATAATATTCACATAAACAAGTCAGATATGACAGTAGTCATATTTTCAAGAAAAAATAAACAACTTCATATCAGAGCAGCCCTAACAATAGAAAATATGTAGGGAATCAAGTACCTGCAGTGTTTCATATATGATTACACAAAGAAAATAATGTGTGCATCAATGTTAAGCTAATACCATCATCCATATGTAAACACATGTAAATGATAGTAATGCAATTCTCTGGAAATGTATAGTTTGAAAAGCAAATGAATACAAACAGGAAAATTTTGATCTATCACATTCACATAATTTCTTGTCAGACAGAATTGCACCTTATCTTTGATGAAGACTCCATTTACCACAATATACTGACTGTATAGTTACAATGACATCATGGATGTCCATTTTCATAACAGCAGATCATATTTGATGAATAAGATGTGGTTTATAATGTAAGGTAATTGATATTTTAAAATAAATGATCAAATATTGTAATACTATATGTATCTTTTTTTCTTCATGTGAAGCAAAGAAACTACAAACTTAGGATTTTTAAAATTAATTTTTATTTAAAGTAAAATCAGTTTTACTTTACAGACCAATTTACCTTCCCCTCCTATCTACTTCTCAAGGAATGGTGGAGCCTCCCATGGGGGATCATCAAAGTCTGTCACATCATTTGAAGCAAAACATAGTCCCTCCCACAAATATCCAGGGTTAATATTTGCATACAAAAGATGTTTTTAATTCTATTGGTAGTTATATATTTAATATATACCCAGAATATTATTAAAATAATAGATGTTTGTAATAGTAATTTAATTAAATATCCTAGACATGAAAATATTAGAATGTTTGTATCTCAATAGCTTCTCATAATCTTGCACATTAAATACTAATAACCTATAATTATTAATGGCAGACCATTGCAACTGTTCCTTTTGTTAAAATGAGAATCATCAATTTTGTTCTTACCTGATTAAAATTGATCAAACAAAATCAGGGAGGAATCAAATGACCTAATTATAAGACTGAAAATGTGAGGAGTCACATTTGCCTGTTTCATTGTGGCTTAGAAAAAAGGCAAACATACTGTTCATGAACAAATGTATCACAAAAACGTAAAGCAATGTAAACAATGCATTCTGCATTAAGAAAGGAAATATTTTCTTAGCTAATAATACAACAGTAGAAAATTTGTAGTTGCCTTGGAAGAGTAAATTATCTGTCCTATATTTTTCTTGAAAAAAATCTGGTTTGGGCAAATGAGCACTCAAGGCTCTTATTAACACTCCAAGAGCAGTGTCCCAGCACAGCTCTCCATTCTATACTTGATTGATTAGACCACTATTGCATGCTTTCCCCTAAGATTCCAAGACTCTTTACTGAGAAATTTAAATGTAAGAAATCTAATGCTAAAAATTGAAAGCATTCATTTAAAAATTATAAGGAAAAATGAAAGAAAATAATGGTGGAAAACAAGATAGAATAGAAACAGCAGGTGATGGAAAATTGTCTAGAATGAAATGAGAAGAAAATCGAATAATTCTATAAAGTAATTTCAGATTTGAGAAAAACAGTTATTTTATTTAACCTACTTTTATTAACAGACATATTGCTTTTACTCAGAGGGAATCACATCATTTGATTGCCCTCTCCAAATTGTGACACACATTACCTCAATTTCAATATACTGAAATTTTGTTTTATCTATTAAAATCAATGTTCCTCTTTATAAGTCACTTTTAGTTTTAGCATGATTTACTGAATTTATCACTACTAGTTTATTGGTTTTCAAACATGCATATCACATTTTATATTTTGAGCAGTAAGTATTTGAGGGATTTATGTTTTAGGTTTTTTTTATTTTTATTTTTTTGCTTAGATAACCCTATTTCATACATAGGTATTATATTTGGATTAATGATAATAGGTAAGATCTTTTCTTCATTGTTTGTTTGCTTATTTCATATAACTTGGGAATTCCTCAAATGACTCACATGGACATTAAGGTTAGGAACTAATTCAACAGTGGGGATATTAAAATTGTTATCATAAGTTGGAGTAAGATGTGGAGTATCAGAACCATGACCACTAACCTATCAACTGTTTCTACAATGAATTATTGTAAAAGATGATCTAACAATATCTCCTTCTACTTTAATGTTTTCCTTAGAGGATCAAATGAAATTAAACTGATTAATTTATACATTAAAATAAATAATAATTACCTTGCTATGAAATATTCATACTTTTCTTTGTATGTAATGGAATGTAGGTCATATAATTAATTCCCTCTTAAATGTTTATAATTTTCATTATTAGTTTCAATGCTAACTTCATATCATAAGAAAGTGATAGTTTGATATGCAAATGATTACCTTTATTATATAATTATTCAAATCATGCAATTGTAATAAAAATATTTTCAGTTTTTCTACATTGATGCTAAAGTCATGGGTTATTTTTGGTTTCTATTTTATATAGAACCCTTGGGGAGATGACTTGTGAACCAAATATAATTACTGAGGCAGGCAACAGTGATAATATCTGACCTTAAAGCAATGAAATGAACAGAGTTAATAAAACAAACACAATGCTATTTCATTGTAATACATGATCTATTGTGGCTTACCTTTAATTATGTGTCTCTCTTTTTTCAGACAATGAAGAGTATTCATGATTTAAAAATAGAAATTTTGACAATAATGGAAAAATTTAAAAACAGCTATTTATCCCTGAGACATTAGTTTTAAGTGAAATTCCTAATTCATAAATAAAGTGACTGTGTAATGTGTGCAAATTTACATCATTTAATAAGTTGAATACATCCAAAGGTAACTTATAATAATCATATAAGCTGATATATTTTAATATTCTCATAAGATGGTAGAATACCAATGTTTTCTATGTGTTTGCTCATTTCTGTGTGAAAAATCCTTATTTTTTACAAGTGCTGTAGAGGAAGAGATTGAGAGCATATCTAATTCAAAGGTGAATAACTAGATTTTTCCTGCTTAATTAGATGTAAAAATAATGACACCTCCAAGAGAAGAACACATGGTCTCCCAAAGAAGGGGAGCGGGACAAGAACCCCTCAGCAAATTGGGAGCATGGGGGAGGGGAGGAGAGGAGGGATGTGATAAGGGGAGAGGAGGAGAAGGGAAGAGGGGTGGAGAACAGGAGAGATCAGGAGGACTGAGACAGGGGAGGAATAGAGGAGGGCAAGAATGGAGAGGCCTTGATAGACAGAGCCAGTATAGGTTTGGAGAGAAGACTGACACTGGAGAAATGTTCAGGGATCCACAGGGATGACCCCAATTAAGAATCTAGGCAGTTTTAGAGAGGCTGCTTTTGATGCCCTTCTCCTATAATGACTACTTTGGTTGCCATTCCTAGAGCCTTCATCCAAAAGCTGATTGAAGCAGAAGCAGGCACCCACAGCTGAACAATGAGCCATACTCCTGGAATGCAGTTGTGGAGAGGGAGGTAGGGATGAGCAAAGGAACCAAGACAATGCTGGAGAAAACAGCAGAAACAATTGACCTGACCTAGTGAGAGCATCATGACACTATTCATAAAACTGGGGAACCAGCATTGGATCTAACCAAACCCTCTGAATGGGGATCCCACCTAGGAGCCAAGGCAGTCTAAGGGACCTCTAACAGTGGTGCCATCTTTTATCCCTAGAGCACAAATGGTCTTTGGGAGCCCATTTCCTATTTAGGGATACTATGGAAGCTCAGATACATGACAGAGGGCCTAGGCCCTTCCCCAAACGATTTGACAGACATTGATGGTCTCCCATGGAGGGTCTCACTATCCTTGGTGAGTGGGTGCGATGTAGTTTGGGTGCTCGGGGATGCATCGGTGAATGGGAGGATGAGGGAACGGGAGGATTGATATATAAAATAAGATTCTTTCTAAAATAAAAAACAATGATATCTATATTTATAAAAAAAGGAAGATCAGTTTCCAAGTGCATTGCATAGTCATCAAACTATGATACTCATTAAAAACTTGTTGATGCTAAATCCTTTCTTCAGTGCAACCCATTGTATGAAAGTTCATGAAATTAATTTTAGTACTGTTTTGAAGGTTACATAGAATAGCAAATATTGTCATGT